CCTTGACCTTTGTCTCGACTACCACCTGATAGGCAATCTGTATGATGCGGCACAGGTCGAAGCAGGTGGGCGGCGTTGCGGGCACGGGCAGCTCAAAGATGTACTGTTTCTTACTGTTCCTGGTGACGCCCTCGCCCTGCTTCTTGCTGACCACGAATCGCTCGGTGATCGTATCCACACTGTGCTGGCTGTAGTAGAGCACCATCATCACCAGACTGGCCTCGATCTGCTCCACGCCTATGTGACTGTCGTTCGTGATCAGCACGGCCACAGGTATCGTCTGGCCAGGCACAAAGCCGCGCTGCGGCAGCGACAAGTGCAGCCGCAACGGCTCCGAGCGGCAGGGCCAGCAGTTATAGGTCCTCTGATCCTCCGACTGGGCAGGCGTCTACGCAAAATAGGAGATGTAGCTTACTTACTTCTCGTCAATACGTATTAAACTTACATTCAGGAAAAGACCTTCCCTGTTGAGATCCATAATTTTCAGCACTGTAAACGGACGCGAGTAGGTCAGATCGAACTTCCAGGGCCTAATGACCTTGACCGTAACTGTATAGCGCACACGGCCGTGAGTGCCCTCGAAAGACGAGGGACATACAGCGGGTATTTGGCAGACAAAATTATAGACATGGGTGCCGGGCTTAAGGGCGACATCTGCAAACGAAATGTATATCAGCATATAAATCAGAAAATATGCATTTACACAGAAAACTAGAGAGACTGACCTGCTCCCTCAGCTACCAGAAGATCCACCTTGGAATGAATATAGTCCTCGTGTCCACTATAGCTTTCTTCTGTGCTCTTATTTTCCACATCGGTTTCATCTTCTGTCCAGTATGTCATGGCAAAACCTTTTATCTTTAGAATTATAGCTGAACAATTTTTTAAATTTATTGATATATACATATGTGAATATGTTAATGTTTTATATATATAAAATGTATAAATTACTTCATTATATTTTTAAACTAAAAAACTATCATAAAACAGAGATTTAGATAACAAATGTGTATTAATAAATAGCAAGAAATAAATATGAATCATTTTATACACCGTCACAGACAAAATAAAACGAGTATATTTGTAAGTGAATGAGTATGCTGCAGTCAGTAACGCCCGGTTAACAAGTTCATTTTGCATCACATTTTCATTCTCCTAATTTTAGCTATCTTTTTTTTATAATTTATTTTTTTAAAATTTTACAAACTTACATTTGACTAGCTTCTCTTTATCGGCATTCAATGATACACGGCCCGAAATCACTTGACCCGCATAGTAAATGCCAAACGGATTGTCTTTAAAGTCAATTTCACAGCTAAGCACCATTATCGTGTCGAGAGCTTTTAATTGCTCGGATTAACAATAAATATTTATAATATGTCTTTGATTTTGTCTGCGTTTCGCTTAGCTGGCAAACAACGAACTGAACTTAAAACTTTTTTTTATTTGGACACATAACCGGAATTGTCAACATTTATCTTATCTATAGTAAAATATTGGAATTATGTACTTATTTATGAAAAAGAGGTACAAAAAAATACGAACAAAATTCAGTTACATTTGACATGTGTAAGCGAAACTCAAGAAATATTTTAGATAAGTCAAGCTGTTGAGATAAAAAAAATGATTATATATAATAAATATTATTATTATTATTAAACTTGATTTATAAGACACAAAAATATTATATATAGATTTTAGATTTTAGATTTTAGCTTACACAAAACATCACAGTCATCTGTAAACTCTCTCTCTCCCTCTCTCTCTGTCTGTCTCTCTCCATAGACTCTCACTCAGACTGAGGAATCCACGTTTGGGATTATAGGTCTATATATATATATATATATATCATTATATGTTTTTTTTTTTTTTTTTTTTTTGTTAGATAAGATAGCACCTGGCAGTTATTATATCATGTTAGTAGCCCCCCAAAAATAATAGCTTAATCAGTTAACGTTTAGCAGCGAGCGAGTTCGGAGCGCTCTTGGCCCTCAAAGTACTCAGACAACAGCAATGTCCAATAATTGCCAAATAACCTTCGATCAGAATGAGCATGGAACATATTTTACCGGACAGGTGGTCACCGGGAAGGTGATCGTCAATTTGAATAAGACCAAGAAACTGCGAGGTATGTCTAACTATTTGTGAGCCCGCCACATGTCGAACCTAAGATCTACTTAAATTTTTTAGTACACAAATTACTTATTATATAGAATTTGTATTATTTTATTTTCTTTATTTTCTTCTCTTTCGCTCTTATCTAATCTGTGTTTGTATTTGTTTTACTTGCTTCTTTTGTTCTCTGTTTTCGTTTTGTCTTTTTGTCCCATTATATTTGTAATTTACTGATAAACCGCAGAGAGTTAATCGATTTGCAAAGCAAAGCGAAGAAAAAAATGTGTGTATTATTCAATAAATGCTCAGGGGGATCTACCTAGTGATAAGGTGGTAGGTGTGCATCAGGAAATGCCAAAACTTATTAGTCATTTTAATGTGTATTCAGAGATTTTATACAACATTAAAAAATCCCTTTTTTTATTATTATTGTCTAATACAAATAAATTAGGCTAATATGTTTAGTGATGATTTCACTTATTGCGTTATTTAATTTATTATTATAGTTTAAAAATAATAATATTGTTAATTATTTTTGAAATGGATAATTAATTAAATAATTATTTCATTTTAATAAATACAGACCTAAAACATATTCTACTGTTTATCAAAACTGCTTTCATTAAGCTTTGTTTATTTTGTTAATCAAACAGAAAAACATTTCTTGCTGCGAAATGAATTATTAAGTTTTATAATATTTTACTATTTTACTACTTAGATTTTATCTTATTTTCTTAGTTAATTCTGAACTTCCAGTGTAGATAATAATTACATATGTGCCCTTGATTCTTCTAGGAATTAAGCTGCAAATCAGCGGCTATGCACAGGCTCAGTGGCGTCGTAAGCATGGGCGTGCCGTGCCCACAAACCAGTACCGCCCGGGGCGCAAGCGTTATTTTATGGGTCGAGAGGATTACATAGCCTCGACCACATATCTGATGGGCTCGGAGCAGGCACCGACGACCACCATTGAAGCTGGCACCTATACGTACACCTTTGCCTGTCCCATACCCAGCCATTGCCCGTCCTCGTTTGAGGGCATCTACGGACACATACGCTACTTGGCCAAGGTGATGTTCATACGGCCCGGCGCCTCGAATCGCACCACCAACGTGGGCTTCACCGTGCTCAAGCTGCTCGATCTGAACCAGGAGAATAAAATGCTGCGCGAGCCGGCTAGCAGTGAGGGCATGGAATACTTTTGCTTCATGCAAACCAAGCCGGTCCACATAAAGGTCACGCTGCAGCAGCAGGGATATGTGCCCGGCCAGTTCATGCTGGTGCACGCGGATGTACGCAACGATTCCAGCAGCGACTGCAGGAAACTCATGATCATGCTCTATCTGCACGCCACGTACACATCCGACATGCCCACCATGCAAATCGTATCCGAGAAGATTCTGCTGGCCAAGCGCGAGAGTGGGGGCGTGCTCCACAATTGCCAGAAGTCCTTTACTGAAACTCTGCGGATACCGGCCACAGCGCCCACCTGCGAGCACCTCAGCAAGGTGGTTCGCGTCTCGTACGAGGTGCGCATCGTGGCCGTGATGAACTGGCTGATGGCCAATCCAAAAGTCATCATACCCATTACCATTGGCAACGTGCCGCTAGTGACGGCGGAGCCGTCCACTACAGTTGGCGTTGCGGCCGTGCCACGGGACTTGCCCTGTACCTCGGCCAGGGCCATGGAACTGGCGGCAGGTGTCAATAATCCCAGCTACGAGCTTACTGAGGAGCTAGAAGACTATGAGCTGCCCGAAGATGGGGACGATGAGTTCGAGATCGGAGATGACCTCGCACCAGAACTGCGTATGTCAAACATATATCAGCTAAAATTATATTTTGTTGAAGCCTATATAGTCATCTTCTCCTTGCTTTTAAAGTCCCTACTTCTTTAATCTCAGTATCTGCCCGTAATATTTTTACAGCTCCACCCACCTACGAGCAAGCCATGTTCATGACCGCCGACATTGCCGATACGGATGCCAACACGGTTAGTGAGGCGGCTCGGTTCACGCCGCGTTATCCCGTCTTCGATGTTGATACATTCCAGAGTCCCCCACCTAATCCGCCACAGAAAAGACGCCGTCGCCGACGCCATAGAGGCGAACACCGAACAACGGATAAAAAGCAGCTGGCGCAAGACCAGTCGAGCGTCGATGAAAAACAATTCGTGGAATCGCCCGTGGAGATTTAGGATCTTATCAAATGCAATATCTAATCGCGACAGTATTTATATTCTAATCAGCGTAATATTGTTTTATAGCCCAGCACAGATTGTTTACGAAGCATCCCACGCTGTTTGATGAATAAACAAAAACAATATAAAGAAGTCCAAAAAGTTCAAGTCATGCAGAATGAAACTTCTTATCTACTATTAAATATCCATTCTTAATTATGCATATTAATAGAAATACTTAAAAATAAAGAGCTTTATATACATACATATGTATTTAATATATGAACTTTGTATATTCATTATTATTATTAGCCGAGTGCAATATGTTAGCTTATGCATCTATCCCTCTTTAGCTATCACACAGCTGTTATCCAAATATAAAATCCTATGTTTGTGTTTACATCAGCGTGTTCGTCAAAGCTAAATGAACGCAACAACAAAACACACAGAAAAGCTGTGCAAAAGCTGACGCGAGCAGCACCAAAGCTTTATAGTAATCGCTCTCTCATTCTCTTTCAGTCGTTCTCTTTCAGTCGTTCTCCAACAGTTGCGATTCCACTAGCTTTGAGAGACTCTCTCATGAGTTGTTGTTTTCGTTTTTGTTTTGGTTCGCTCACTCGTTGATGATGTCACACTTGCTCAGCTCTCAGCGGCTCTCAAATATTTTATTTTCAACGCATTTTGTATTGAGGCATTTTATTTCTGTTTTGACTGTTCGTTGCTGCGGTCCATTTTTCAGCGTTTTCGTGTCGCGTGCTTTGGTCCATTTATATTTGGTATTCCAGTGACTTTTAATATGTTTCGTAAAACATGTACTTTATCTAATTAAGTGTAAATTTAACACAGTGCCATACAAATAAAATTTGATTTTCGCTATGCCTTCAACTTGTGTTTTCGAATTCGATCGACCCAATCCGGTTTATTACAGCGGCGAGACAATCAATGGGCGCGTCAATTTTACAACGACGAGCAACAAGTCTGTCAATGGTAAAGTATTCAGAATGTCTCTTATTCGCTCACTGCTTCTTGTAAATGGGATCTTGAATTTCTTGCTAGCAATGTGTAGCTGTCAAAGGAACTACTTCAACTATCAACTTAACTTACTAACCTTTTAAGATAATGAATGAGTAGATATTAATAACACTTGAAATTACAGTATACTATCTCTACTGTGATTTTTGTACTTGATAAGATTTCCGTGACAATTAATGACTCATATTATACTCATGTATACTATTGTAAATGCTCTGACTTCAATAATACTTGATTGAAATTTCGATAATATGAGAGAAAAATGAGCAAATTTTATTGAGCTTCATTTCAAACTCATTAGCACCATTTGGGTGTGCTTTGTTGTTTTATATGGATTATTATACACATATATCGCTGTCACATAATCCATTTGTATATATTTTTCATCCAAATAATAAGTAAATAAAAACAAGAGTAAACATTAAGAGTAAGCATTAAAATGCATATAGTTGATTAGAAACGAGCTTCAACTGGTATTTATCATGGACTGCCTCTTACAGTGTGCTTCAATTTCACACAAAATAACAAGATTTATAAAATTTTGGTGAAATTTATTTATATTATCATAATTAGGTATATGTATCAGATAATTATTCATACTAAAAATAACTAAAGTAGCTAAGAAATTTTATAATAATTAATTAATGTATTGAAATATAAATTGAACTACAAGTATTCAAATCTCGTACTTCGCATTACCACTGTGCGAGTCACACAAACAAACGCAGCCGGCAGAATGACAGCACAAAGCGTAAATTGAAATAATATTGAAGCTTAGCAAATTCTTACTCAATCTTAACTTTTGTGATTTCTGCTTTTATCTCTGCAGCTGTTTATATCTTGTTCGAGGGAGCGGCGAAGGTGCGTTGGGAGGAGCATCGCACTCGAACTGTTAACGGTAAATCACAGTCATATACGGAATATTTTCGTGGCGATGAACAATATTTGTACACACGGACCGATGTGTTTGGCGAGGGCGAATTGCCAGCTGGCACGCACACCTATACCTTCTGCATACCCCTTCCTCTGGAATGTCCTACGTCGTGCGTGGAGAAGTATGGCAAGATCGCCTACGAGGTATCACTCGTGGTCGATCGCTCCTGGCGTTTAAACAACGAGTTCAAGCAGCCCCTCACCGTGCTGCAGACCTACAATCTCAACATGTATCCCGAGATGCTAGTGAGTACCCTAATTTTTTTTAAGCACAGCCCTTAGCATATTTATTTAAATATAACCATTTTAGGTTCCACTCAAGAGCGAAGACATCAAGTACTTTTGCTGCTGGCCCTGTTCCTCGGGTCCGGTCATCTCAACTCTAACCATGCCCTTTGGCGGGTATGCGCCAGGTCAGCGTATACACTATGTCCTGCATATAGATAATCAGTCACACGGCTACGATTTGGAAGGCGTCGAAGTATCCTTGATTCAGATCTATGAATTCAGGGCTAGCACGCCCACTTATAAATCCAAAACACATAAAAACACTCTCAGCTCGGAGTATCAGGCGGAGCGTGTGCGACGTTTGTCCAAGCGCTTAATTAATGCCAGCCTCGTAATACCTCCTGTTCCGCCTTCTTCCCGGAATCAGCGCATCATCAACGTGTCCTACCAGATTGAAATGGCCATTAAAACGGGAGACTGTCACACAGACTCGGAAATCGAGACGCCCATTATAATTGGCACCATCCCCCTGGCTCAGAGTGCCGAAAACCCGAACAATGTCGCCACTTGGATACCCCAGACGCCAGATACGCCTGCAGGTGCTGCCGCCGATCTGCCACCAAGCTACGACACTTGCAGTAAGCGTTTCTTCAATTAACTAGTTTCGGCTTCCAATGCATATATTCCTCATACCTTTGCAGAGCCTCCCTCATTTGAGCAGGCCACGAATATAACAGACAAATTTGTGGATACGGATGTGAATGAGCACAATCGCACCGATGACTTTATACCTTGCTATCCCATGTACACCGACTTCGCGATGCCCTCGGCTCCGCCTGCGATTGCATTGCAACTACCCACTGCACCTCCCAGAGAGTAAAGCAACCAAGAGTTTATTAGGATATTCGATCATTTGTACTTCATAGTGCCTAATGCATATACTCAAAGCCTCAGATTTATTGTGAATGTCAGTAATATATACATATATATATACAGCTATAAATAATGTATACCAAAGAACTATTATTATTTGTATAAAAATATATGTCTTAACATCTTATCTAAGCAATCATAAAATGTATGAATGGAATTGCCTGAAATCGAGACAGACTATCCTTAGTCATGGTCTTTAAAAGAGCTAAAGAACAGAAGAACTAATATAATAAAATATATATTATATATAAACTATTCAGTTTATTAGAATTTAATTAATTAATTAGGATTTTACAATGTGTTTCTGATTGCCTATATATCTGTTCGTGTGTCTGTCTGTATATATCTCTGTCTGTCTTCCTGTCCATCTCACAGCAGCATAGCAAGGAAGAGCTATAGAATATCATTTAAGTGTCCATACGTATGCAGCATTATTCACATGATAATTGTATTTGAGCAACGCGAAGTAAGAATGCTTGCAGCAACAGAAAGTATTCACCTAAAGGTCGGCTGTAACAATTTCGATAATATATATAGGGCAGTAGATGCAGTATTTCGTCAGTAAAGTTATGCGGCAACACTTGGTTGAATTAGAGAAAATACATAGAGAAATTCTAAAGGAAATACTTTCAATACAAATACTTAAAAGAAGAAAGGAAATACTATATTTATTTATTATACATATTTGACATTTGAATTTATTATTATGATGAGCAAAAAACAAACAAAAATATTGCAACTTTTCGTATGGTTTCTTCCATTTTGATTTATCCGCATCAGCATTTTTTCCTAAATATATTAGTCTGATTAAGAAAAGAAATTGCAATAGTGGACGTATTACTGATTCAGAGCTTTGTGAATCTCAAACATTTTATTTTCAACGCGTTTCAAACTAAAGCATTTTATTTGTGCTCCGACTGCTCGTCGCCGTGGTCGGCTTTGTTCCATTTATAGTTGATAATACAGTGACTTTTAATTAAGTGAACATTTAAGACAGTGCCACATATAAAATTTGATTTTCGCTATGCCTTCAAATTGTGTTTTCCTATTCGACCGTTCCAATCTAGTTTACCACAGCGGTGAGACAGTCAGTGGGAGCATCATTTTGACAACTACGAGCAACAAGTCTGTTAATGGTAAAGTGTTTCGAATGTATCTTACTCTTAAGCCTACAAATCTTACTTTCCTTACTGCAAATTGTATATAAAAATGCTTTTAAGCGTATGCAGCTAGAAGTGTTTCAGATATTGCAAATTTGAGATATTACCGAGAAGAAAATTTTGAGTTTAATTAAGACTTGAAATTACATTTATACTTCGTAATTCTGTAACTGATAAGATTTCATTTGTTGACTCATACTAGAAAGTTGTGGATGCACTGAAACGTTCAGACTTTAATGTCTAATACTATTTCTATAGCTCTAAATTGGGTTTCAATTTAAGCTCATATGTATGATTTTTGTGTTCCGTTATTTCTATTAGGGGCGTACCCTCTAGATTATTAAACTTTAATTACCCTGACACATATGCTATTTTTATATATTATTCAGGAAAATTTATAAAAAAGAGTAAACCACAAATGTGGTCCAAATTTTTAATACGAAGTGAGATTCAAATGGTTGCTCGTCATAGTTCGCTTTGTATAATTGTGTTAAATTATGTATTACAATTATAAAACATATCATGTTAAAGATAAATTCTAAGTTTGTAATAATCAAGCTAAATGTCAAATCTCAAATCTCTAGCAATTCAATGCGAGTACATCAAACAGAGAATGAGAGCTGAATGATTTTGCTCTATAAGTTATGTATTCCTTCTTGATGAAAAAAAAGCTATCAAAATCTATAAAGGGGATGTGTTGAAGATCTATACTATAATATAAAATCTTCTGTCTTCATTGTAATTTCATGGATAATTTCCTCAAGCTTTTTATTTTATTTATGCAGCTATTTACATCTTGTTCGAGGGCGCTGCGAACGTGCATTGGAGGAAGCGTCACACGAGAACTGTGAACGGTAGAAGAATGATCCGTATCAAACATTTTTATGGCAGAGAAGTATATGTGTGCAAACGGATAAATGTGTTTGGCAAGGGCGAGCTGCCAGCTGGCACGCACACCTATGCCTTCCGCGTTCCACTTCCAGAGAAATGTCCCACGTCGTGCGAGGGGTCGTATGGCAGGATCGCCTACGAAGTGTTGCTCGTGGTAGATCGTTCCTGGCGTTTCAACAACGAGTACAAGAAAACCGTTACCGTGCTGCAGACCTACAATCTGAACATGTATCCCGAGTTGCGAGTGAGTACTCTAAGTCTTAAGCTGAGCCCTTATATCATTGGTTTATATCTAACCTTATCAGGTGCCACTCAAGAGCGAAGACATCAAGTACTTTTGCTGCTGGCCCTGTTCCTCGGGTCCGGTCATCTCAACTCTAACCATGCCCTTTGGCGGGTATGCGCCAGGTCAGCGTATACACTATGTCCTGCATATAGATAATCAGTCGCGTGGCTACGACTTGACAGGTATCGAAGTATCCTTGGTACAGTTGAAGGTATTCACAGCTACCACGCCCCATCACGAATCTAGAAGTTCTACAAGTACTTACTGTACGACGTACCAGGCAGAGCTTGTACGACGTTTGTCCAAGCGCATAATTAATGGCAGCCTCGTAATACCATCTGTTCCGCCTTCTTCCCGGAATCAGCGTGCTATCAGACTGTTCTACCATATCAGAATGGTCATTAAAACAGGAATCTGTCACACAGACTCGGTAATCGAGATACCCATCGTGATTGGCACTATCCCCCTGGCTCAGAGAGCCGAAACCCCAAAAAATGTCGCAACGCCCTCAGGTGCCGCCGCCGCTTTGCCATCAAACTACGATACTGGCCGTAAGTATTTGGTGATTAACTAGCTTCAACTTCTAATAGATCCATTCCTCATTTCTGTGCAGGATCTCCTCAGCCCAGAGTTTCACCTGGGATAGCATTGGAAGTTTCCACTGCACCTGGCGCAAATAAATAGACCAAAGCTTCATTCAGGACGGGGATAAATATTATTTACAAAATACCCCACAAAATTCCACAAAATATGTGTACGTTCTGTACTTTATACATGTACATATACATATATATTGCCAATAAATACTTGTATACATACAAAATACACGTCCATATCTTATATGGCTAAATCAATGAATGATTTCTAATTTAGCTTACAGCGTGAAGGCGAATAACGTGAATAATTTTCAAATAATATTTGTAATAAATAATTTAGTTACAAAAAATAAGTGAATAAATAAAGAATATTAAATTTAATACTATAATATTATATATCTATATATAATGTAGATCTAGAGAACTTTTTCCGTTTCAGTATTGTCCATTTCGTAATAGAGGTAACGGGGTCTAAAATCCAGCTGTTCCCCGGACATGGCGTGCTTATCCTTGTTCAGATTGGTGCCCATCATGAACTCCGCCTCCCGAAAATGTGAAGCTATATAATAATAGATAGATTAGTAGTTATACTTTATATATATATCTTTATATTATGTAAATCGGAACTTACGCAACGAGCTCATGGAGACGGTTAGATGAGGAGCAGCCATGGCAAAGCTGTTTGCCTCCGGGGTTCGACTCGGCGCACTGGCGATGCCCACTGGCTGGGAAAAGGCCAACTCCTGTTTTGCACTGGGCGCCTGATATATGATGATGGGCATTCGAGCTGAGATATAACGTTGGGGATTCTTGGTCTGCACCAGAACCTCCAGCTCGTAGCCGAGCTGCAGGCAGTCGCAAACGTTCGCCCCCAGCGTGGGCGGCGTCTGTGGCACTTGGAGCGTGTGCAGATGCTGGAAGTTGAGCAGCTCGTTGCGCGGACACGTGACTAGCTGATGACTGCTGCTGATCAGCGGGCGGCGATCCACCTGCTGGGCCGTGCGCTTGGGCCTATCCTGCTGGCGGCCCAGATAGGTGGTCACCTGATTCAGCTTGTAGGTGATCTGCTGGAGGGGCAGCTGCTGGCCATTGTGCAGCTGCACGTGCACCGAGATGCCCATGCCGGGCTCGTAGCTCGACCGCGGCACATTGAGGTGCAGCTGCAGCGGACGGTGCCAGAACTTCAATGGCGGCCGCAGCTCAACGGCGCTCACCTCGCAGGGCTGCTCGCCCAGCTGCTGCAGCTGCTGCGCCTCTTGACTCGGCTCTCGCCCAATCAGCTGCAGCTGCCGTACGTAGGCCGGTTCCGTTGGCTGCTCACCGCCACGCTGCACCTGCAGCTGCAGCGTGTAGCGTATTTGGCCATGCGCCCCCTCGAAGCTGCTGGGGCAACCCGCGGGCAGCTGCACACTGAAGTCGTAGCGATAGGCGCCAGCAGCTATCAGCTGCGGCAGCGCAACCTCCGACCCCACAAAGTAGTCCACCTTGGCAAAGTAGTCGACACGCTGGCCAAAGCGAAGGTAGGGCCTAACTTCTGGCTCACTGCCGGGCTTAGCCCTCTTTGATTTCTTTGGCGTATCCCATGAGGTTGATGCAAAGCCATTCGACTCCAGGAAAATGGCTGAAAGTAAGTTTAGTATTTTACATGAGTTCCATTCACTATTCATCAGATTTTAATACTCGAAAATTGCATGATCTAAAACATACAAGTATTTGTACGGCTTATCCGATTTATATATGTACTAAAAACCTTTATGATCTAAAAAATTATTTATTTATTTATTGTTACCAAGAATTAATTCGTTCGAACTTCTGGCAAGACTGATAAACAATGGCATGAACTATGCCCGGTAAGTCAGCAAAAAAATCCGGTGATTACAGCTTGGCTTACCTTGACCCACATGTTTGCAGCTAGACTCAGCTTTAACTGATAACTCACTCTGGAATATATAAAATGTCTAAGAGAGTTGAGAACTTACCAAGCCAATATACTCTTCAGCATTTCTTGCGTGGGCATACACAAATATTTCGAGCTTATCACTTTTTAGCGCTTTATCAGCTGCTGCTTTAATTGATTATATTTATATATATTTACATTTCAAACTTTAGGGCCAAGTTAGCATAATTCTATAGGCTATAAAATAGTATATGTATATGTGTGACTAAAATGTATACATGTTTTTTATTATTTATAATATTAATAGCTCATCTTCACTTCACTTCACTTCACTTCGCAATAACATTATGAATTTTCTTATCTTTTGATTACTTTTGATCACTTTGATTAGATCTAAACATGAATCATGCCCTGTGGCTGGCTTCGATCGTGACTCACCTTTGATTAGGGCACGCTCCGTGAGAGTTAGGTAGATGTGGCCATTTACCGTCTCGCCAGCATAGTAGACCCCACTGGGTCTCTCCAATTGGATGTCGCAGATTTGGCTCATTTTCGGAACTCTGCACCGTTCGACTAGCGCGCGTTGTCTGCCGTTTTGTTGACAGTAGCCCGGCCTATTAAACAGGCCTTATCGGTGTTGGCCATGTCGTCTGCTCTGTTATTTAGTGTATTTATCTAATCGCAATTCATCGTGCCCCTGCTGCGGGTGCAAGCGCCGAGCACTCACTTGTCGTAAACAATTAGCGAATTTAATTAAATAACTGTCTCGGGTGCCAAGCGTTGCATACGCATAGGCGAATTCAAATGGGCCCATAAATAAGCATTAGATATAAATATACTTAAATGTGTGTATATATGTGTGTGTGCGAATTCACCGGCAAAACTTACGTCAAAAATCAAAGCCAACTTTCAGAAATTACATAGAATATTTTATAAATAATTTTGCTGAATTGATAATACAAATAATAATCAAATAATTTTAATAAATTAATAAAAACAATAATAAATAAAATTTTAAACTAAATCCTCAAAAGAAAAATACAAAACATACTTATTTATTATATTTGCCTAGAAACAAAATATTTTGTAATTATATCAATAATATTAAAAAATATATAAATATTAAGTTTTTTTTATTTACGCAAACAAAATAACTAAGGCTCTAGGAATATCACAGAACATTTGTTTACTGTGACCTATATCAATGTAAACTCAAACAAAACTGGATTGATTGCTCATCGAATTGCTTCCCTATATATCCAAATATATATATTCTCTAGACCTGCCCCAGCCATTAATAGACGGAAATTGAGCATCGATGAAGATGAAGACTGAAAACTGACCCACATTTTGGAACCGAACTGACATCATACTATTAAAATGTTAACAAAATTGTGTCACAGCTATTTATGGTATTTTTATCTCGATAAGAAGAATAGTAATATTTCAGTCAAATCTGATAAAACAAAAAATATTCTGTTCAATGTTAGTCTCCGAGCTCATTGGCCCAACTTTTATATCCCAATATATATATATATAAAATAATTTATGGATCATTTTACATAATTTCATCAATGAGGAGCATCATTGTTATTTTTTAATCATTATCAATAAATTGTTTTTGATAATACATCCATTATTATTATTGTTGCTGCCATTTTTATTATTATCAAAATGTAATATAATTAATTTAATAGAAATACAATTTATAAATAAAAATAAATTCGTACAACAGCTATGAGTAAAGAACTCTGCTTTGTATACGTATTTATTGTCCAATTATGAACGCACAAGTCTTATTTCAAAAATATTAGATATAGCTACATTTAGATCTAGATACATGTAATTCTAATTGAATCAAAAGTATGCATGTAAAAAGCAATAGAATAATATTTAGTAAATTACTTTCTGGCACTCAATAAGTTCGCTTCAATGAAATTTCAATTTTGGATGGCAGTAAAGTATAGTTAATGTATATAAGACATATATATATACACATATATAATATATGTATGAGCTATGAGAGCTTCCAATAAGACGGATTATGACACACTCGAAAATATAATTGGATTACTTAGCTCTGAACACTTATATCTAGTACAATCTTACGTATTATACCCACAATGGGCGTTAAGACACTTGCATTTAAAATTGATGCTCGGCCTGATGCACCTGGGCCGTGGCATCCAGTCGTTGCTCCTGCTGCTCCGCTTCGCTCTGCTCAGACAGGGGGCCGCACAGCGAGCCGAAGGTATCGAGGCTGCGGCCCGTGTGATCCGTGTCCAGCGAGCCATAGGAGCGATAGTAGTGCATGTCCAGGCCGGAGTCCTCCAGGATCTGTTCATGCGCCGGCGCTGTGCCCAGCAGCGTGCTAAAGCCCGGAAATTTGGGCAGATGTATGCGCGGTTGACTCTCCAGCGTCTGCTGACTGCCAGCCAAAGTAGCGAAGCTAAAAGAAGGCGGCACTGCAATGAAAGAGAGACAGTGAGTGAGAGAGATAGAGAGAGAGAGAGAGTATCTTCTTCACTCACAGCAACTGTCATATGAGGGCGGCTCGTCGTCCTCCATCGTCTGATGAATCTCCTCGGCTGCCGCCTCCTGGGGCGTCTCCTCCTCGACCGTTGCGGGGCGTGGCTGCACCCGCTCGATGAGGCGCTGTCGCTCCGGCGTGGGCGTGCGTCGAGCCGGCTGCCGGGTGGAGGCGCTGGCTTGTAGATGCTGCAGTGGCGTCGTGCCCACCACAATGGGCACGGAGAGATCCGTGTCGTAGTGGAAGTAGCCGGTCTTCAGCTTCACCTGCAGCGTGTAGTGCAGGAAGACAATGTAGTTGGGGTTCAGCGTGGATCGGGGCGTGTCCATGGGCACAACAATGCTCGACTCGTACATGCGCTTGGACAGGCGCAGGGTGCGATCCGTGATGGTCTCCTTGCACAGAGTCTTCGTGTAGAAATTGCGCTTGACGGGCTTGCGCGAGAGGAAGACAAAGTGCTGCTTTATGGACACCTCCAAGGCAATAATATCGTAGTGCGGCGATTGGTTGTCGATCTCCACGGTGAAGGGCACCTCCTGAAGCGGCGTAAAGCCGGAGGCGGGCAGCGCCAGGCTGGAGCTAATGGGTCCCGAGACACATGGCCAATGGCAGAGGTATTTGATGTTCTCATCCTTGACAGGCAGCTGAAGGGAGATGAGGGGAGGTTAGGGAACAGTTAAATGGAATTAAATATAATATAATATAAAATAATTTAAGTTGAGCTGACAAAAATAAAATAAAGATTGTGTAATTAATCTAAATAGTATCTTTTCAGTTCTTATATGAATGGTTGGCTAATGCCAAACAATATAGAGAGCATGAGTATATAGCTTCAAATGTGATTTGTATATGACGTGTCTCATGATGAAGTGTTTAATTATTTATAAATTCCTGGAATAGAGCTAACACCCCATGATTCATCTTTAAGCTATGCATTTACTGAATTGCAGGCACCTGCTAAGTGAGACCTTTAAGTTGTTTAAGTTGAGAGCGGCAGTTGGAGTAGAGCCACCCAAAGCGGGAATAATTCCATTTATTTTCCTTCTTTTTTTAGGTGCCCGTTTTTCTTTTGCTTGCACAAAGCAGCTGAGCGAATGACGAATTAAGGCATTGCTAAATTGAAACAAAAAGCAAGCAGTTGTACTTCGATTAGTGATACAGCATTTGTGCAGTCCTTTCTCTTATTAATTAATTCTTTTTGCAGACTTAATACTATAAATTTTAATTACTGTGCTATGCAGATAGAACAGGATCAATTAGCATTGTGTAGTTATTAAAAATGACTTATTAAGAGTGAATTAGCTACAACTAATGTAATCTATGCTGCACTCAGAGTATTTGTATTTTAATTCCTTCCATCCATCTTAAACATTGCTCTTAACTTCAGAGCATTAATATTGCCTTTAATATATATTTTAAATTTATAAATAAATTTAGGCATTACACAGCATAATCAACTATTTCATATATATTTAAAAGCCAACTATTCGTATCATTAATGTACTTGGCTTAAATCAGAACAATACATTTTAAAAATAACTTTTATAGCTGTCCAATCGAATAAGTTCTGTTAAATTAAAGCTCAAGACGAAATATAAAGCAATTTAGGAACTTCAATGCAAATATTAGTTCGAAACTTTAAGTTTAATTCCTATTCCAACTGCTGCTCTTGACAGTGCTAATTGCTTAATTTGAATACTAATTTACAGCTTCATAAATTCATTTTTCATAGACCATTAAATAACTTAACAATAACAAAGAGAATTAACAAAGCACTCTGCAGCTAAGATAAAGAAATATCATAGAGATAGCAGCAAAATAGCCAAACTAAACAGCAACAACTAAATATGCAAATTAAGCATTGCCAAGTAATTGAGCTTAAACTGAAGTTTAAGTTTTCTTCGACTTGAATTCCTTTTCTGTTGAATAAGATATAAGTATGACCACATATTTATAACTAAGAGCAAAGAAATAAAATTCAGTTTTAGATGAATAAGCTCCTTTTATTAGACATATCTAAAAACATCGAATTTCAAGTTTTTGTCTTAGATTTGAATCCAATTAAAGCAGTTTAAATTCACTATTCAAATTCAATAATAAACAATTTAACATATATTAGTTCAAAAATTCCTTCATCATAAGTTTCAACAGTAGTTACGACCATTTATTACGAAAATGTTTCAGTCTCCCATTTTTAGCTAATTGTTGATAGATAATAATTTAAGATAGGAATTCAACGCTCTATCACTGAGTCGCATATTGCTGCGACTCTTTAGAAAATTCTCGCACTGCATACAATATTTACATATATTTCCTCTACCCGTATAAATTACCACAGTAAACGCCTACGCACACTAATGAGACACATTCGAGCACAAATTGAGTTCACACATTTTTCTCGGGCCACGTCACTTGGCTACAGATTAAGAGGGAAATAAAAAAAAAAAAATAAATAAAAAACTTACCGCAAACTCAGAGTTATAGTTGAGATCCAATGTTTGGACAACCATGATGGGCTTGCGGAAGACCTCGTCGAAGCCCCACGGCTTGTCGATGGTCAGCGATATATTGTAGGCAATGTAGCCATACGGGCCCTTGCAGCTGCTCGGGCAGTCGGGTGGTATGCGCAATGTGAGCACATAGACGTGCACTCCGGCCCGGAACAGCGAGTTGTCGAAGACGTTGGTGCGTGTGTGCAGATACTGCTGGTGGCCCGAATAGTTGGATGTCTCGCTCTTGCCGCTCATGGACCACTGCACCTTGGCCTCACCCTCCAGGGTAACGTAGACAGCTGCAAGGAGCGAAATTGAGAGTTTGTTTCGGGGTTTGGCGATGGCGACGGCGACGCACCATTCACGCGCTTCACCTTGTCCGTGCGTAGCAGAATGCGTCCGCTGATGTATTCGCCGCTGTTGTAGACGGGATTCAGGCGATCCAGCTGAAAGACACAGGTGGTGGGCATGGCTAACAAAGGCCCCAATGCACTGCAAACATTACACGCGGAACAAGGAACGGACACAGCGCACGGCAAGGATAATGAAAACTCAACCGAACTTTCGCACAGCCAGACGCGCACTGAGCCCAGCGCCTTTGTTGTGCGTCCTGCGTTGCCCTCTCGTTCGCTCGCAGCATCCTTGCGCCCTGTGCCAAAGGCAAAGCTGGAATGGGGGCGCGAATCAATAAGTTGGCGCCATGCGTCTGTGTAACCGTCTACTGTCTGCTTCTGGTCAAATAACGCTTTGTTGCTTGCGTCCCTTTCGGTTTCTTTGTTTGAGCGGCGCCAAAAAAGACCGAAACAAAATAAAAACAAGTAAGAAAGCTCTAGTCGAGATGCACGACTACGAGATCCCCTGAACCCTTCGAGCAACTGATATTTCAATAATAAT